TAAAAATATAAGTCAGCACTAATTGTTCCCAAAAAACCTATTGAAATAAACAAAAGCCTCAAAAAACAAACTAACAAACAAACAAACAACAACAACAACAAGAAAGAAGAAAAGAAAAGAAAGAAGTCAGATCTGGCCCTTGCCCACTTCTTCCTGCCTCATTTCCTGTATTTGCCCTGGTTCTCGCAGCCCAAGAAGCTTCTTTGCCATTCTTTGAACACAGCAAGGCCACACCTGCCTCAAGGATTAAGTCCTTGCTATTTCCTCCACTGGGAATGCTCTTCCTGTAGATGTTGATCTAAATTAAACAAGAGAATTCATTATTTCAGTATGTCCTCTGTTCGAAATTTACCTTGGGAGAGAGATCCAAGATGGCCGATTAGCAGCAGCTCAGGATTGTAGCTCCCAGTGAAAGCACAGAGAGTGAGTGGATGCTACACTTCCAGATGAATTTTTGTTGCCCACAGATGAGGAGATTACCAGCGGAGGAGCCCCACACGTCGCCAGTGTGACTCTTTTGACCAGCGCGGCTGTTTTGCCGGTGCTCTGGCATGGCGGTTCTCAGTGCGGAGTATACGGTACTGGGTGCCCTTTTAGTTGGCGTTTGGAGCTCTGGTAAGTCAGAGTCACCCATTCAGCTGATTGAAAAGAGGACTGAAGCTGGGGAGCCAGACCAGAAGATTCCCAGGCAGAAAAGTGCCACGAATCTCAACGCTGCTGTTTCAGCTGGCACAGTGGGTTGTCGCAGGGGAAATTACATAGATTCCAGCACCTTTTCAGCAGGCAACTGGAACACCTGGGAGAGAGAGTCAACTGTTCAACGAAAAAAAAAAAAAAAAAAAAAAGAGGCTCTGAGACTGAGCCAGGTGATTGGGCTCGGCTGGTCCCACCCCATCAAAAAAACAGCAATTGGAAGTGATGAAGATTGAGAGTTTCACAGCAAGCACAGCTGAACCTGGGAAGGTCCAGCTCTGTGGGGGAGGGGTGTCTGCTGAAGGAAAACTAAGAAACAGAAAAAACTTCATCACCAACAAGCTGGACGTCCACTCAGAGACCCAGTCTGAAAGTCAGCAATTACAAAGACGACAGGTGGGTAAATCCACAAAGATGGGAAGAAACCAGTGCAAAAAGGCTGAAAACACCCGAAATTAGAATCTCTCTCCTCCTACAGGGGATCGCAGCTCCTTGTCAGTGATGGAACAAGGCCTGATGGAGAATGAATGTGATTAATTGACAGAATCAGGCTTCAGGAGGTGAATAATAAGAAACTTCTGTGAGCTAAAAGAACATGTTCTAACGCAATGCAAAGAAACTAAGAACCTTGAAGAAAGGTTTGACGAAATGCTAACGAGAATAGATAATTTAGAGAGGAATATAAGTGAATTAATAGAGCCAAAAAACACAATACGAGAACTTCACGAAGTATCCACAAGCTTTAACAGTCGAATTGATCAAGCAGAAGAAAGGATATCAGAGGTGGAAGACCAACTTAATGAAATAAAATGAGCAGACAAGGTTAGATAAAAAAGGCTAGAAAGGAATGAGCAAAGTCTCCAAGAAATATGGGACTATGTGAAAAGACCTAATTTACATTTGATAGGTGTACCTGAATGTGACGAAGAGAATGAATCCAAGCTGGAAAATATTCTTTAGGATGTTATCCAGGAAGACTTTCCCAACCTAGCAAAGCAGGGCAATACTCAACTCCAGATAATACAGAGAACACCACAAAGATATTCCTCAACAAGAGCCACCCCAAGGCACATAATCATTAGATTCACCAGGGTTGAAATGAAGGAGAAAATACTAAGGGCAGCCAGAGAAAAAGGTCAGGTTACCCACAAAGGGAAGCCTATCAGACTCACAGCAGATCTCTCAGCAGAAACCCTACAGCCAGAAGAGAGTTGGGGCCAATATTCAACATCATTAAACAAAAGAACTTTCAACCCAGAATTTCACATCCAGCCAAACTAAGCTTCATAAGTGAAGGAAAAATAAAATTTTTTGCTAACAAGAAAGTACTCAGAGATTTCATCACCACCAGGCCTGCTTTACAAGAGCTTCTGAAAGAAGCATTACACATAGAAAGGAACAACTAATATCAGCCATTCCAAAAGCATACCAAAAGGTAAAGAACATCACCATAATGAAGAATTTACATCAATTAATGAGCAAAACAGCCAGCTAGCATTAAATGGCAGTACTAAACTCATATATATCAATATCAATCCCAAATTTAAATGAGCTAAATGCCCCAATCAAAAGACACAGAGAGGCAAATTGGATAAAAAGCTAAAACCCATCAGTATGCTGCATCCAGACCCATCTCAAATGCAAGGATACACAAAGACTCAAAACAAAGGGATGGAGGAAGATTTACCAACCAAATGGAGAGAGAGAGAGAGAGAGAGAAAAAGCAGGAGTTGCAATTCTCATCTCTGATAAAATAGACTTTAAAGCAACAAAGACTAAAAGAGACAATGAAGGACATTACATAATGGTAAAAGGATCAATGCAACAAGAAGAGCTAATGATCCTAAATATATACGTACCCAATACAGGAGCACCCAGATACATAAGGCATGTTCTTAATGACTTACAAAGAGGCTTAGACTCCCACATAATAATAGTGGGAGACTTTAAAACTGCATTGTCAATATTAGATCAACAAGACAGAAAATTAACAAGGATGTCCAGGACTTGAACTCAGACCTGAAATAAGTAAACTTAATAAACATTTAGAGAACTCTCCACCCTAAATCCACAAAACATACATTCTTATCAGTATCACATCACACCTACTCTAACAGTGACTGCATAATTGGAAGTAAATTACTCCTCAGTAATTGCATAGCATTTCATAGGTTTAAATGAAATATTGGTTGGCTGCTTTTATGTTATTTTCCTCCCTTATTCCTTCCTGTCTCCTTTGTTAATCACATTTATTGGCATAAAAGAGGTTTTTAATACCCATTTTTAGACTGCATTCTAGCCTGGGCAATAGAGCAAGATTGCGTTCTCTCTTCCTCTTTCTCTCTTTCATTCTTTTTGTCTTTCTTTCTCTCTCTTTTTTCATTCTTCTTTTCTTCCTTTTTCTTCCTTTCTTTCTTTTTCACTTTCTTAAAAAAGAAAAAAAAACCACACACACAAACACACATACACACACACACACACACAAAGAAAAAAAATACTTTACCTTGTCAGAAAAGCTTTCTTTAATCTCCCTTTCTAAAATAGCAGTGTCTGGCATTTTCTATCTTCTTGCCAGTTTTAATGAGAGTGTAGAGTTATCTGTCTATTATTTGTTTGCTGTGAGTCTTTCTGAGTGGCATATGGATTCCATGATGGCAGAGACATTATTGCTCTATCCCTAGTGTCTGCAACAGCACGCCTTAGGGGCTGATAAATATTTGTTGAATTTTTAGAGTAGTTACAGGTATTAATTCTACCAAGTTAAAGGATATATAAAAATTAAAAATGATTAAAGGTGACATTTTTTAAAACTTAACCTCTAAATGATAGAGGAAGGGAGTATGTGTGGAGAAAGTTGTGTAGAAGCAGAAAAGGAGAGTCTCCAAGTTCTTGGGCTCTGGTTGTCCTTCTTCCCTTCTTTTCTCCACCATAGGAGGAGAGTTACCTATTGCAGTAACTGCTGTGCCAAGAGTCAAGGGGAGAGACCAAAGGGAAGGCCTTCTGTGGACTTTGTGGGCACTTATCAAGAGCTTCAGGGGTGCATCCATGGTGAGGATGGGGCCTTGAAGTATTGCTAGGAAATTAACATTGGTGAAACAAAATGAAATTGGGGATTTTTTTTTTTTGAGATGGAGTTTTGCTCTTCTTGCCCAGGCTGGAATGCAGTGGCACCATCTCAGCTCACCATAACCTCCGCCTCCCGGGTTCAAGTGATTCTCCTTCCTCAGCCTCCCGAGTAGCTGGGATTACAGGCATGTGCCACCACTCCTGGCTAATTTTGTATTCTTAATGGAGATGGGGTTTCTCCACATTGGTCAGGCTATTCTCAAACTCCTGACATCAGTTGTTCTGTCCACCTTGGCCTCCCAAAGTGCTGGGATTACAGGCATGAGCCACCGTGCCTGGCCTACAAAATTGGGGATCTTATGTTCCTTAAACTCACTCCACTTGAAGCATTGAAAATGACAACTTGTGGTGAAGTGCCATGGCTCACACCTGTAATCCTAGCATTGTGGGAGACTGAGGGAGGAGGATTGCTTGAGTTCAGTTTAAGACTGCGGTGAACTATGATTATGACACGGCACTCCAGTGTGGGCAACAGAGTAAGACCTTGTCTTTTTAAAAAAATCTAGAATTGTGAATGTTAAGTCTTACAATGAAGATAATGGTAATTTTTAATGTGTTGCCTTTCTGACCACTCCTGGTGAATATCCCATTTCCCAGTTCTTTTAGAGTTGAATTGAGAATGTTGATGAAATTATTTTCAGTTTCTTGGATTGCTCTTTCTTAGAGAGAACAAGATGCAAGGTGAATTCATGTGCTCTTCACTTACCATTGTGAGTTCTACTCACTGATACAGATAAACAGAAAAAAACTGTGCCAAAATAACGAATTCTCTCCATTAACATTATGAGCTGTAAAGGGATGGGAACAGCTTATTTTAAGTTCTGTTAGTACTGCAGTGTGCTAAATGATAAACATTTAATGATCTCCAGAAAACAGCAAAAATAAAACAATTTATTGTATAAATATCTTTAATAACAAATCATATTACCTGAACTTTGACTCCCAATAAACATCTGCCTGATACTTATCTGACATAACTATGGTTTTGAAAGTTTAAACTCTAGGACATACGTGGGTATATAATCCTGCAAAGTTCACATTGTCTAACTTTGGCTATAAAGATGTGTTTCAAAACACCAAACAGTTATTTTGTAGTGTTTGGATCATTTCAAATGATTCATTTGTTTCGGCATAAACTCATTATATGTCTCTATGTTTCCCTTTGATTTCTTTTTGCCTAGAGGGAGAAGAAGATGAGGATGAAGAGGACGAAGAAGATGAAGATGAAGAAGAGGAAGATGAGGATGAAGATGAGGAAGATAAAGATGCAGACTCGCTGGATGAGGGCTTGGATGGTGACACTGAGCTGCCAGGGTTTACTCTCCCTGCTGTCACCTCCCAGGAACCAGGTTTAGAGCAGGGAAACATGGACCTCTTGGAGGGAGCCACCTACCAGGTGCCAGATGCCATTGAATGGGAACAGCAGAATCAAGGCTTGGGTAAGAGGCATGTGTATTTCCCTTTTCCTTCCTTCTCTCCTTCTTTTATGTTTCTAAGGTGACAGCCTTCTTTCATTGCTATCTGTTGTAGAGAAAAATGGGTTTTCTATATTTATGAGTAGTTTCTACATCTATGGGTGGTGGTTAAGAGTATAAATATAAACTCATTGAAGAAATAACTAATAATTAAACATTAAAAATTGTTAGTTACTTCTTCAATGAGTTTTTATTTATGCTCTTAAATAGCCAGGCTCCAAAGAGTCTCTAACTGCCTATCATGAGCACAGTTGCCTGATTTTTGGAAGAAATTCAGTTTTTCTTTCCCAGTTGGAAGACAGCAGTAGGCTTTAGGAGGACATCTGCACGGGGAGGAGATATGTGCAACCAGGATGCCCGGACAAACAGCACCAGGGGATAGAGTTGGAGAACAAATGCATTCTTGTTCCACTCTGTCCTTTGGTAATTTGTTCCCTAGGGGAACTTCTTCCCCTGCTTGAAGGTGAGCAGTTGGACAGTCCCATGACTTTCCTGTTCAGTCTTGTGGCTGCATTGCTATGTCAAACACGATTTCATTTCAGCCACTAGGGTGTCCAGACCACTCCATGCTTACTGTCTATTCGTGGCTCATGCTTGTGGCGAGAGACTTGGAGGACACAGGCTGCTCCTTAGCTCAGCACTTCCTTCCCCATTGGCAGGGAAGCTCCCCAGTCTGTCCCTCTCCTCTTGTCAGAGGGAGACACTATTAGGCTCTGAGTGACTCCTTGAGGCCATATTCCTTTGACTGGAGGTGGAGTGATCTCTTCTCCAAAGAAACTCTTCTCTGAAATGCTCTAGTCTTTAACAGCTGGGCCCATTGATTCCTTCAGTGTGGCAGATGTTAGATTTAAGAGTCAGAAAAACTGGTAAAAAATACTAGTTTAGGGGACATTTTATTGAAAATTTGGGAGTTCTGGGATTTTGCTCTGGATGTAGTTCTGGGAGTAGCATCTATAGATTGGCATACAGGTTGTAGTTGAAATGTAGATGGGACTTCCTGTGGAATATGCTACAGGAAGGAGAGAAGATAATAAGGGATGGACTTCTAGTGGGCAGACAACATTTCCTGAATTATTTTCTGGCCAATTCAGCATGCACTGGACAATGGTTACTTTAAAAACATGTCATATGAAACTGATAAAAACTTATATGGGTATCAAAACATTATAATATCAAAATACTGTCAAACAAACACAAAATAAGATGAACTCTGGTCTGTGAACAAGTGAATGAATGTTTAGTTTGAAATGCTTCTGTTCTACATGAGCAGGTTTGAAATGAATGAAATAAAATACAAACTACAAAGATAACTTATTACAGAGCAGGTTAAAAACAGACAAAAATCTACACATAAAGTGACTCCTCAGGCTGTGCACAGCTTTATAATATGGAAGCATATAATATGTACAGTTGAACAGCCTTTCAGGATGGATGGGATGGATATTCAGAGACTAGTACTTTATTGGAGGGAGGAGTGAGGGAGACAGGGTTGCCTTAGCACAGAAGCAGGGGCATCATATGACATCTACCCTGGATCTCTGGTCAAAGAAATCAAGTATCACCCCTTACAAAGTGAACTTGCCATCTATGAATAATTATAAGTAATTGGAGGGTCTTAGAAAAATATAGGGAAGCTCTGATTCAAGGCTAAAATGATCATTTGGGCTGTGGTATTATCATGCTCCTCAACACAAATTTACCACTTAATAGGAGTCAGATTTTTAAGGAATCAACTTTATTGAGGTGCATATTATACACAATAAATTGCACTCACTGAAAGCATTCAATTTGATGAGTCTCAGAATTATATACACCCATACAACCCCCATCACAGTCATGATGCAGAACATTTCCATCATTTCATCCCCAGTGATTCCTCATGCCCCTTTGCCATTCATCCCTCCCTCAGGTAACCACTGGTCTTCTTTGGTCACTGTACATTAGTTTGCATTTCCTAGAATTTTGTACAAATGAAATCAAATGGTATATATGATTTTGTGTCCAGCTTAGATCACTTAGCATAATAATTTTGAGATTCAACTATGTTGTATGTATGTGTGTCAGTAGTTTGTTCCTTATATGTAACATACACACATGTGCTCACACATCCACACACACATATATATAGTTGACTAATATTCAGTTTTATGGATATAACACATTTTGCTCATCTAGTCACCTGTTGATGAACACCTGGCTTGTTCCCTGTTTTGGCTAATAGCAGTTCAATTTTAAGGCTTGTCATGCTTGAAACTGAGGACAAAAAGCTCTGTTGTCCTCCTGTCCTGACTTCTGATTTCAGGCCCCTTGCCCAGCTAAAGTTTCTTTTTTTTTTTTTTTTTTTTGAGACAGAGTCTTACTCTGTCATCCAGGATGGAGTACAGTGGTGCAATCTCGGGCACTGCAACCTCCACCTCCCAGGTTCAAATGATTCTTCTGCCTCAGCCTCCCAAGCAGCTGGAATTACAGCTACCCTCCATGACACGAGGCTAATTTTTGTATTTTTAGTAGACACATAGTTTCACCATGTTTGCCAGGCTGGTCTCAAACTCCTGACCTTAGATGATCTGCCCACCTTGGCCTCCCAAAGTGCTGGGATTACAGGCGTGAGACACAGCTAAAGTTTCTTAAATTAGTGATACCGGTTTAGTAATTTGTTATGCTTTTATAAGTGATTTCTTCAGATCCTGAGTTTTTTTTTTTAAAAATCAGACTTATTATTATTATTTACTATTTCTCTAGGTGTCTCTTACTTTTTGCTGTTGTTGCTTCTTTTCCTAAAATATTCTTTTTGTCAACATGGTTTTAGCATTGTGGGCTTCCTGGGAACCAAACAAAGGAAAAAATATTTCAAAGTGTTCTTCTCACTGTGAGAAGATTGTGTTTGAGGAGGGTCTGGGTTTCGGATTTTATTAGCCTGCCATCTTTTCTTGGAAGGACAGGAATTCTCCTAATAATTCAAAACAAATAACAACATGTAGATCAAATTAAATGATGCAGTTTACTAAATACTCTCAGATCAGGTAAAGTAGTAAAACCCCTTTTTTTTCTGTGATGGATTTTGTGGTCGGAAGAACAATGGCTCCCTGAAGATGTCCATGTTCTAATATCTGGAACCTGTGAATACATTACCCTACATGGAAAAAGAGACTTTACTGATTTGATTAAATTAAGGATCTTTAGGCTGGGCACAGTGGCTCATGCCTGTAATTCCAGTGCTTTGAAAGGCTGAGGCAGGAGGATCGTTTGAGGCCAGGAGTTTGAGAACAGCCTGGAAACATAGAAAGACCTCATCTCTACAACAGCTACAGAAAGTTAGCTGAGGGTGGCATGTGCTTGTAGTTCCAGCTACTCAAGAGGTTAAGGTGGGAGGGTCACTTGAGCCAGGTGTATGAGTTTGTTTTCATGCTCCTATGAAGAGATACCTGAGACTGGATAATTTATGAAGGAAAGAGGTTTAATTGACTCACAGTACTGCAGGGCTGGGGAGGCCTCAGGAAATTTACAATCCTGGCAGAAGGGGAAGCAAACATGTCCTTCTGCATATGGTAGCAGGGAGGAAAAGTACAGACCTACGTGGGGAAAAGCCCCCTATAACACCATCAAATCGTGTGAGAACTCACTCTCTACCATGAGAACAGCATGGGGAAACTGCCCCCATAATTGAAGCACCTCCCATGAGGTCCCTCCCAGGACACAGGGGATCATGGGAATTACAATTCAAGATGAGATTTGGGTGTTGGCACAGCCAAACCGTATCACCAGGAATTTAAGGCCGCAGTAAGCCATGATTATGCCACTGCATTCCAGCCTGGGTGACTGAGTAAGACCCTGCCAAAAAAAAAAACAAAAACAGTTAAGGATCTTTAAATTGGAATGGGAAGGTTATCCTGGATTATTGGGTGGATTCAGTATAATCACAAAGGTTCTTATAAGAGGGAAGCAGGAGATTCAGAATCAGAGAAGATGTGATGATGGGAGCAGAGGTCAGAGTGATGTAGCCATCAGCCAAGGAATGCTGTCAGCCTCTAGAAGCTGGAAAAGGCAAGGAAACGGATTCTCCTCCATGGCCTCTGGAAGGAATGCAGCCCTGCCAACATCTTGGTTTGAGCTCAGTGAGACCCATTTCAGACTTTTGACCTCCAGAACTGCAAGGTAATAAATCTGTGTTGTCTGAAGCCTTCTGGTAATTTGTTATAGCAGCCATAGAAAACGGATTCAGATTTCAATAGGTATTCAAGGAGCAGTGTCATTTTGAAAGCAGAGCCTCATGGCAGCTATGCTCAGAGTGTAAACATTGTAAAATTAAGTATACTTTTTCCTGTAATGAATCAATAAAAATGTAAACTCTGAGATCCTTTGAAAAGTAATTCTATTTAATATAATAACACTTTGATTGGCTGTCTACTTCATTCCTATTTTTAAATGGGTTGTTTTATTTCTAGGTTGTCACCTCCAGTTTTACAATATGAATGGTATTCCAAAGTAAACGCTGAAACCCATGTAAATTTTTAAAAATGAACAGATTGAGGTGGGTAGTGAACTAAAAATAATGCAAACTCTTTGCAAACTCTTGGAATAGATTATAGTCTCATATCCTGTGAAGTGCCAAGAGCAGAACATAGATGACTTTCTAAGGCAAAGCGGTAAATTGAGACCTCAAATTCTCTGCACTTCCGTTTTCTGCACCATCATGTATGCATTGCCTCTGAAGCTTTGGAGGGAGAGAACTTAGTTTCTTCATCTTGCTGCAGGGAAATGTGAATGTGGAGTGAACTGTGTGTTGTTGGGATAGAGAGAATTGGGAGTGAAAGTTCCATGTTTTGATTGAGGCGTATTGGCTGATTGTTCAAATGTTAGTAGCATAGAGGAAGCTGATGTACAGAATTCATTTCTTCTCTCATCTAACAGGTTCATTTTTACATTTATTGACAAGAACCTGTACAGAGAGCAGACACTGTGAC